CAACTAATATTATTACTTTTAAAATATAGTAAAAAATTGAGGAAAAAATAGTTTAGTAAAAATATTTTCTCAACGCTTTCACTATATTTTAGAATTAGTAATATAATTTTTACCATCTAAAAATATATCATTTTTACTCAGTATGTTAATAACATCAGTAAATTTGTTTAGAAACCATCATATCATGATGGCAGCGTTAAGTCTTCAACTACTGTTAAGCTTACACGATGATGATGTTAGTAACACACTTATTAAAATATTTCTTAAAGATATTATAATAGTTGTGTGGTGTTTAAATTATTTAAAGTATTTAAATTAAATACTAGATAAAGACATCACTTCTCATTCCGTTAGAATAATATTAGAAAAAAGAACATTAATTTTATACACTCTCATTGCTGAATATATTTCAATTGGAAAACTGATATTATTATTAAATAATACTATTAATTGTCACAACATTTTTGATATTGTCAATACAATATATTCTTACATGAGTATTGTTTTTGGCTTTCGTCACAAACCAAGTACAAATGGCCACTAAGCGACAAACTTTGTAGTTTTAATCTTCTCGGACTAACACCTATTGTACTACCAAATAAACTGCTGTCATAAGTCATAACCATTAGATCGTTTTTTACCTACCGTTGTATGCTGTCTAAATGTTTACTTCCAAATTTTGTAGTATTTTATTTATATTTTAGATAATATAACGGAATTGAATACTGTGTCTATTTCTAAAGCAAGTTATCGATATAATTAAAAAAATAATAATAATAATATTAAATAACAGTAAAGCTGCAGCAAGGTCTTGGATTAAATATTTTTAATAAGGCGCTTCGGTTAGGCAATATTGGTACGTGACTGTTTTCATAACAAGCGGTTGCCTACATACAATTATAGTAAAACTGCTCTATTGTTAATATTTATTTATTTTGTTGCTAATATATTATATATAATAATTGTATTATATAGTGTGACGCATAAAAGTATACAGCTTTTATACGAAACTGGATGGTTTGGTTATAACCTGACTTTCACAAGAAAATGTATTTTTTATCATGATGTTTTAAATAATATCCGGTTCCTTGAAATTTAATCAAAACGGATAAGTCGGTTTTGCTGTCTAGTTTTTATTATTATTATTATGATTATGTTGAAACATGCTGAAAATATAGGTATATCTTTGTGAACATTTTAATGAAATTAAAACACTTGCGCGTTTAGTATCATTATTAATTGTTTTTTAAATATATTTGGATTTTAGAGGAAATTCAATAAACAATTTAAATACAACAATTATTTTTCCGTTAAAAAATCAGATACTTTATATTTTTGTTATTCTGTTGCAGCTCTCCTCGTTAAAATTAATAATACAATTAGGCCAGAAAGATAAAGAATATAAACGCGTCACCTTTACGATTGCCCTGTTTGTTTTAAATAATATTAAGCACTGTGACTTTTGTGACACGAAGGAAGACGTAGAGACCGGGTTTTTTTATTGAAACATCTTGTAAAACAATTTATCGATTTCTAACGTTTTTCTCTCTGTAGAAAAGAGTACTATTTGGCTTGGATTAATCATCAGTCGGTCATCAATAGTACTCCAGGTCGTGTGTGTCGAAAAAGCTAAGATTTTACACTAAATAAATGTGCACGTGGGAATACCATTTAAGGTTTCAGGCACAGCTGTTGGGAAATGGCTAAATGTATTTGTTCATTGTCGTCGGTGAATACCAAAGCACTCCTTTTCAGTTGACGTGGTCGTGATGGGTTTCTGTAGGGAAAACGAATTTACGTGCCATTCTCGTGAGTCGTGACAGATTGTTATTCAAGGACACGAAATTAACGCCTGTATAGGTACCTGTAACATGTGAACCCACACGTTGTAGAATGCCACTACAAGGGTACTCTTTTTCCGGCGTCATTGACTGGCGTAGAAAGCGATTAAGCCCCCTCTAGGAGTGCACTAGTTTTGTGTGTATTGTGTTTGTGATTAAATTAATATTTTCCAATAAAAAAATGTACAAGACACACCGAAGAAGAGGGGGGGGGGGGTCGATTGAGCCTTGAGCGAGTGTCGTTTATTAATTTCTGATATAAATGCCATATAATTAATACCCCTTCTGTTCTCAGTCCTCAATACGCTCCTCTCTTTCTCACGTTACTTTTTTTAATTGTGTTAAGTTCAGAGTAAACTAACATTGTTATTGTAGAATGTAAAACGTGTATACTTTATACAATTAAGTTTAATTTCAAATCATTATTGTTACTATGCTTAGTATGTTAATTTACAGTTGTTGAGCTGTAATCTTTTTTTAAACAAAGGCAAATAAAAAGATAGAATAACTTTTGAGAATCAAATTACCGTGGTAGCGATAATGGCTTATATATTCGCATAAAAATACCGTAGTGTATATTTTGTAAAAGGTAACCTTTCCAGGGGAAAATATACAGCCATAAAATATTGTTTCATTATTATACTAACGTGCGTATTGTTAAAAAGCATTCCGACACACTGCAATCAAATTTTTACTTTTTATCTTACAAAAAAAAAGAAATATATTCATTTTATCCAATTTGGATGATAACAACTGCGTAATTTTTTTCTAAACTATAATTATTAAAAATTCATATAGTTTTATAATCATTGGAATTGAACAGAATAAACAAAAAAGAAACTACCGGTTTTAAGATAATTTTTGGGCAATATGGAATTTAACGGAAGGAATATTATTTCTTTCAATCTGAATCGACGTTGTCATATGATGCTAATAATTGATATTTATTAGAACTACCTTTAATATTTATTTTCATTATTAATTTAATAACATAAAATAAATTAGAGCCATTGCGTTATGACGTTTTTTACTTGTTGAATGTTAGTGTTTAAATTTATTTCGTATTAATTTTGTGTACATTTTGAAAAAGAAAAATGGTTGAGGCGATAGAAATTGAATTTTTGCAATATAAACCCAGAAGGACTAGGATAGAGGGTCATATTACCCAAGGCGACATGATTAGATTTTATGGATAGCAAACTGTAAAATATAAAAATACTGTTATAACATTTTATAACATTCTCAATATGGTAAGACAGCGTTTAATGAACATTTTCTTCTGGACATAGCGAAGCAATAAACTTAGAGTTAGGACCCAAAAACTAAGGTTCAAAAGTAAGTAAGTATATTTAACATTTTAGTTCAAGTTTCTGTATTGTACAAAAACCAATGATATATTTGCTTACATTATACGCAGTATTTTTCACAACGATTGTTGCAATATATAAAAACAAAAAACACCTTTTGGTATCATAAAGTTTTTTTAAGCAATAACTTTATTGTTGGTTTTTTTATCGAAGACAAGTTATTTTGTTGTTTTGGTATGTAAATGATTCAACTATTTTTCTGAAATGACTGTAGGGATGTAAAAAAATGAAAAGTACCCGTTATTATCACAATCTTAAAGTATTAACATTATAAGAATTTTACAAAAACAAATTGTACAGTTAATCATTTTGTTTTATTATCGAAACCCGGTTGTTTTCCACAATCACAGTAGCAATGTAGACAAATGATAAATGGTTTTTAATATCACAGTTTTTTTAGGTTTTAACACAACTGTCGTGTTTTTTAAAAACAATTTGTATAGAATCATTTTTTTTAACAAGTTGTTTTCCATAATGTTTTTTATATTACAAACAAATGGCAAAAACATATTAAAAATCATGAGGTTTCTAACGTGTTATGTATTTTTGTGTTTATAAATTGTTGACTATTTTTTTGCATGATCGGATCCTAATATTACAGAAATTTAAGGAATTCTTTTTTTTACTCTGTTAAATTTTACTAAATACATTTTTATAATTATTGCTGTGTATTTAATTTAATTCGAATATTAAGTTGTATTAAACAGACATTAAAAAATGAAGGTGTTTTGTAGATTTAGATTTTCAATAAACTAACCCGAGATTTTGGAGCCTGGCTACCTAAAAAACATAATGATGCAATTTATTTCTCCATTTTAAAGTATCTAAAGATTTTTAGACAACTTGAAATAATAAAAAAAAAATCAAAAATCAAATCTTTACTGATATAGTCAATAAATATATTTTTTTCAAAAACATGCATGTATACTGAAGATCTAAAAAGAGGTTATTTATGGTTCTTACATTGTATTCTGTATATATTCATATATTCTGTAATCAAACTAATAGTAAAAAATAGTAAAAACAAGAAAAAAAATTAGCAGTTTAAAAGTTGCTTCATTGTCATCTATGGAGAGGTAAGTTTAGCCAAAATAAGATCCCCATAGAATATGGCCGCTAACTGTCAAAGTCTCTAAGTTGTCCAGTTATCCAGTCGTGTATGTGAAATAAGCCCATCCAAAAAATGAAAAAAAAAAGCTGTTGCACATGGAAAATAGGTATAATTATGTTTTTCCCCCCTGAAGACTTATAACTACACGCAGGGCTCTCATATGTATAATCGCTAGTTAACTAGTATTTTTAAGTTTAATTTAAATGTCTGTTTTGCACAACGATAGGTTCATAAAATGTTTTAAATACAGCATTTTCTTACAACAAATATTGCAATGTAAATAAATGACAAAAATCAGTCGGTATCATAAAGGTTTTGGTTTTAACATTATAACAAAAATGTAATATTCTACAAAAACCGAGTTTTAGTGCTGTATTATTTCAAACAAAACAAGTATTCAATGCGTATGTCTAACAATGTGGTAACGTCGTGCAAGAAAATAGTTCAAACATTTAATTACACAAATAATAAAACAAAAAAACACTTGTTTTCGATAAAAAACCTACATACACCACAAAATATAATATGTGCTAAAGTTCTGTTTTAGTTGTTAAAAAAGCCAGTACGGTGGGATTAGGGCATAGAGGGGGGGAGGGGTTACAGGTTTACAGGAATTATTACAACTAAAACAATTTCAAATAAACGTTTCATTTTATTATATAGCAGTCTAGAATTAAGTATAGCAATCAATTATGTGATACATTTGCTCTGGTTAAAAGTTTTCAAGTCTTAGTAAGCTTATCGATATGAACAATTTTTAATATAAAAGTGAAATTAAAGTACATAATATTATCGTGTTTAATGTATTCTACTGCGACGATACATTCTCTCAAAAACAAGGTGATTATATACATTTTTAAAATTTTATAAACAAACCGTTGACAATTGGTGTATTTTGAGACAATATCATTTATTTTTTCATAATTATCAATTTTAAAACAATTAATCATTTGTTAAAATAAAAAAAAAATTTTATTTTATAAAAAATGTGTTTTTCACAAGCCGTTAAAGTTATTTGTCTACGATAGAAATAGTTTTAAGCGTCATTCGGCATGTAAACAAAAGTTTACACAAAAAACGCTCATTATTGTATAAGTAGTATTACTCACATTATAATTATTTTATTGATTTATCTTTTTACGGCGATTACATAATTTATTATTTTTTTCAATTTAAAGTTGTATTGAAAAAATAATAAGTCGCCGCAATAAGATAAATCAAAAAAACAAATTATAACATATGCATGGATGTTTTTTCGATACAGAATGGGAATGGAATAAACTTTTTGCATTGTTCATCCAATAAAATACCTTTCACAGTACCTTTTAATTTTTTATTACTAATCTAGCACATATTAAAGGAACTGCATGACAAGATAATAAAAGAAGTCATTCAATATATAACCGGCCAGTTATACAAACAAAAAATAGAAGATAATGTTACCGACGAATCCCTACATTGTCATTTTGAAGAAATGGCAGGTAAATGAATACCGAGAAGAATGTGATGATGGAGATAGCGACTTGAAGCGAATATGGAATTTTGCTAATTTCAAAAAGACGTAATATTATCAATTTGATAACATAAATAAAATCTTAAATAACTTAGAGCCATTAAGTTTTTACTTGTTGAATGTTAGTATTTCAATTTATTTTATGTCAATTTTTTTGTAATTTTTCAAAGGCGACGGAAATTAAATTTTGCTGTATAAACCCAGAAGGAGGTCATATTATACAAGACGAAATAATTTGATATTGCGGAGAACAAGTAACTGCGGATCAAATTAGAGAAGTTATGTCTCAGTACGGAATAAAGATCTGTAAAACTTGTAAGTATAGTCTACGAAATTACAATATTTTACTCACTTTCATTGTTTTATTGTATTCAGCTATTACGAGTATAATGTTATATAGCGTGGCAGTTGCCGTTTAGGTAAAAAACCTTAATAAAATTGTGAAAGGGAGGATGGGTGGAGTTAAGCTTATCAGCGCGCATTAGTCAATCGCACTCGACCTTTAGTCCTAAATGTTTAACTTGAATGCCATTTAAACTAGGAATTAAATTGTATACAATATATTGACTTGTTATTATTGTTGTGATTTTACTATAGAATCTACTTTAACGTTATACGAAAATGTGTCATTTATATTTTTCATAATAAAATTATTGAATTACCATTAAAAAAAAAAATGAAATATTTCAGAGAGTGACGTCTTCCAAACGGTGTTATTATTTAATACACGAGTAAGCTTTACAAAGAAACATAAACAAATTAATTTGTTCTATTGTTACTTAAATTGAATGACAATGTCTAGTTGAATATACGAGAAATTATTATAATTGTATACATGGATTATTATTATTAGTATGGAGACTACATGTTGTATTTTATTTTAATGCAATTATATAATTTTTATTATTATTCATACCGTTTATCACGAGGGTCTGGAAAAACACCAACGTTAACATTGATATTATACATTGGGAGAGATTATCAGATTACAGCAGGTGTAGCTGATTTTTTTCAAATATATTCTATTGTCATGGTAAATTCTCTGGAAATCTCAAATAAATTAGAGTCATTAAATTAATCTAATAATATCTAATATTATATGTCGTCTTGGACAATATAACCTTTATCTAATGCTTCTGGGTTTATTTATTGTTGCAATTTCCATGGCCATAAAAATTTTTTTTGGCATTTACACAAAATTGATACAAATTAATTTAATTACCAAACATTCATCGATTAATTCAACGACTCTAATTGATTTAGGTTTTCCGGAGAATTTTCCGTCGGCAATAGAATATATTAAACGAAAATCAGCCATACCAGCTGTAATCGGATTAACTTTTCCCAAGTGTAGAAGAGCTGTTAACGTTGGTGCTCTGCCATGCCCTCGTGATAAACGCTATAAAAAATAATAATACAAATTATATAATTGTATTAAAATAAAATACACTTTGTTGTCACCGTAATAGTATTTAAAACAATATATAAAACTGTAATAATTTGTCAACTAGACACTGTCATTAAATTTAAATTAAAAAAAAATAAATTAGTTTGCTTATGTTTCTTTGTATGGCATACTCGTATATAAAACAAAACTTGTTTTGAAGAAGACACTATAAAATATTTCAATTTTTTGAAATGGTTGTTCAATAATTTCATTATAAAAATCATAAATGATAAATTTGTATACAATGTAAATGTTTTTTTTTTTACAATAAAATAATTTCAATAATAACAAGTCAATGTTGTATAAAATGTAATTGCCATTTTAAATGTTGTTCAAGTTAAAAATTTAGGGTGGGAGATTGAGTGTGGTTGAGTAATGCAGATAAGAATAAATCTTCACACTACCCTTGCTACATTTTAAACTTAAAAAACCAAAAATTTGAATATTGTCTAATATTTTAATATAGCATAAACAAAATTGTTTTCCAAAATAAAAACTACAAAATATCAATAATTTTAAAAGAAAACTATACGGTAAAAAAAAATTAAACAAAAAAAAAAGAATATGCAACTTAAAAAAAATTCTGGTCATAGGCTTCTTATTTTTTTTTTTACTCATAAACTTAATATCAAGAGAAGTACAAAACAAAATTATATTAAGGTTTAACTAAATAATTTGGTACACTAATATTTATAATTTTTTGGATTGAAAAATAGCATAGTAAAAATGTTTAAAAAAATGTTTTTATTTTATAAGTAAAAAAAAATGATATTTAAATATGTTCTATTTTATAAAAATTGTTCCCCAAAGTGTATAAAACTTGTTGCTGGAGATAATTTTTAAAGGATTTTTTTATAAAGTTGATACACAATGTATGTTTAATTTTTATTTAATCTTATTTACCAATATTATGAAATTACAAAATTTTAATAAAAAACATTAATAATAATAATTTGTAAACATTAAACATGTATAGATAAGTTATTGTTGAAAAAATAATAATTACCTTGTTATTGAGAGAATTTACCGTCGCAATAGAATATATTAAACAAAATAACATGATGTACTTTATTTCCATTTTTTTTTATATTAAAAATTGATTTTATTGATAAGCTTACTAAATCTTGAAAACTTGTGAACTAGAGAAAATGTATCACATAAATAATTCTTATGCTCGATCGTAGCCTGTTATGTAATAAATTGAAACGTTAATTTAAAATTGTTTTTATCGCTTTTAGTTATAATAATTCCTGTAGACCTGTACGCTATGTCACGACGAAGACATCTGAAAATACAAAGGGCAATTTTACATTAATGTCTTACCTAAACATGCCTTGTACAGTCCACAGGGACATTCGGGTACATAGACCCGAAACTTAAGTGCTCTTGAGACAAAAACCATTTCGGTTATTAATGGTTCGTTGTTTTTTTTTTTTTTTGTAGATCATGCCTATGAGTTTAAAATCAAAATTTGACGGATAAGTTTAATGAACTTTCACTGTATAAACAGTGACAAAGTGAAATCACTCCGCAGCTAAATCACATTACAGAAAACATTTAAAAATTATGGTTTATAAATCACTTTGTAAATGTATTTTTGAAAAAATTTAGGTAAAATAGTAAGTTTTGCGATAACGAGTTTTTAAATTTACAATTTAACGTGATAATTCAAGTAGAATTTGTACCGTCTAACGTTGCTGTCTTTCACTCGAGAAGTGTAACCTCTAATTGTTTTTTCCCGTTGAAATGACACCTAATACATTAAGATTATTGTTATTTAATGTGGCCACGTGTTACACGGCAAGAGTTAATACTTAAATGATTCAGTGCGTTAGTTGAACGAAAAGGAGTTGTATTGAATGGTTTCAACTGATGGCAGTAAACAAAAAATTCATTTCAACAATAACGTAGGCGTGAGTAGCATAATCTGATAAACCTATTTTGACTTTAATTAATTTCTATTTATTATATGATGTATCGTTCTCGCGTCGATTATGACTTTAATTTATTGTCGGTTTAAGCATTGGCGGAGAGAGGGTTTTAAAACTTAAAATTAGCGCTTTGCAAAATACCTACGTTTATTTTTCAGCGAAAGATTTGTTGAAATCAAAATAAATGTAGCACTATATTTAAGTTTTAGTAGGTTTTTTTAAGCTTTTTAGAATCCCAAGACCTTCCTGATCACTGCCAATACGCCTGAGATCTTAAGAATGATTGTAAAATAACTTTGATTTTGATTATAGTCTAACAAAATATGTGTGCACCATAAATGTCATACCGATAGTGTTTGTTTCGACGTGAAAACTATAAATTATAGCGTCGAAAGTAATTCCTTAGAGTTTTGAAGTATGTGAGCACGGCAATGAATTTAATAAAACAATAACGGGATTATAAAAATGAAATATCGATAGATTCCTGTTATTCTGGTTGGTAAGTCGAACATTTTGGAGGGTAACGATCAGTATATTTGTTGTAATATAACGGGTTGTAAGTACCGTTTATGAAAACCGAAATAAGATACATTTTTAGCACACTGTTCCTTTTAATATTTTATTGAAATACATATTGTACCATAAACATAATGTCTCGCAAGATATCATTTGAAATAAATACGAAAATTACTTTAATAAAATCACTTTTAACATTTTTATTCAAAACCGAAATAAAAACAAACAGACTGAGATTTCCAAAGAACTAATTTTAGCATAGTTATGAGTTTTTCTTTGTCGATGCTTAATGAGAAATCGGTACTTTCAACCTTTTTGAAATTTTGGTGGTTTCGTGGAAATGAACTTCGCCCACAAGAGGTCTCTTTTCGGTGTCCACATCAAACAGTTTTTTAATTGGATGAACTAAAGGCTAATGCAGAAGCCGCCGTTAGTAGTTTTGGATTACTTTAATCTTGTGTTTTGTAACGGTATTCTCATGGAATTAACCTTCGAAAATAATATTATTAGCATAGATATAATGAATTCAAACCTAGGCATGACTGGTGTTTTAAAATGCACGGTGAAACGCTATTGGGACAAAATATTTAAGGCACGTAGGACTATATGGTGATGAAGATAAATTGAAGTGGAGCTTTCTTATATCTATGAACTATAATACACAAGGAGCTGGGGAAAATGAATGATTAAAACAAAGTTCTCAAATCCAGAAACTTTTCTCAACATTTTTTAAATTTTTTAATGATTTAAAACTATACACAACAATCAAACATTGGCGGTTAGGTTAGGTATTTAAGGGGGGGGGGGTGGCTTGGTATACTTAAAACCTTAAAATTAGTGCTGTTCAACCGACATTTATTTTTAACAAATTTTTAAATAACTCTCTAGCCAAAAAATCAATAAGGTATTTTGAAAATCACTGATTTTATGTTTTAGTATTCCAAGTCCCCTAAATAGCCGCCAATGCATTCACACTCGATTTGAGACTACAATCTTGTAACTCGATATAACAATATGGATCTACACAATATGGACGACAAGATGTATTCTATTGTTATATAGTAAAAAACATAGGTATGTACTACCCACTGTATAATAGAAAAGTCATCTGTCTACTATTCAAAGTTTTGCATCCAAAGTCTTTTATTCATATTCAAATATATTTTTTTTTTTTAAACCAATCACTACCATGTTTCGATCTTAATTCGCTGTCTTCTGTTATTCGTAATAAAAATTTTCTTTCTCAAAATTATATCATGTTTATCGATTTTGGGTGTATTCGTTTTTAACACTAGAATTTGACACGGCCGTTATCGCGGGGTTTCCCGCATATAAGCAAAAGCGAATAATTACAATATAAGTAAAAGTAAGCAATATATTTTGTTATAAAGTACCTTCTACAAAATGGGAAATTCAATAATATGTTAACGATTGTTATGATTTAAAAAAAAGTTATTGTTTTGAAAAATTAAATGCTACATTTTTGTCATTAAACATAGATTTTGTAAAGCAAATCGTTTACAGTGCAATCGAATGTAGATTTACCAAACTTGAATGATAATAATATACATTTTTTGAATTTACCACGACCTATAATTAATCAAAAACACAATTCGTTCTTAAAATCTGAAAACAGTTTTCTCATTCGCTTTTTTCTACTCCATTTATTTTTTATGTTAGCTTGTTTTTAATCTCACCGAATGACATCTTTGTTGAATAAGACAATGTCGTTTTACTATAATCATCAAATAATAACTACATTAAGTTTATTTTTAGTTGTATGTAATACTAAATTTTAATTCAAAATGACAAGTGGAAAAACAAGTTTGTTGGAATTAAAGCGCGAATATTGGTGAATAATACATAAGCTGAGATAACAAAAAAAAATCTATGAAGGTAGCCTGGCGTGAAATATTATATGACATCCCCAAAACGTATAAACTTTGATGAGTAACCACACTAAAATAAATAAAACATTTAGGTCGTCTGGCAAGTTTTCGATAGTCTGCCACTCTGAACTGAGCATTCAAAGATGATAAACGATATACTGTGCGGCGAAAACCATTTGTAGCATAAATGTGGACATTTTATCATTTATATCTGGTAAAAATAGATTATAAAAAATTTGTCGTCGTTATAATTAAAATAAAAATTACTTTGCGTGTAAAATAACAATTTAACGAATTCGCTAAATAATAAAGTTGAAATGAAAATGATTTATACAAATTATATTTATATAAATAGATATTTTTGTGTGTGTGACTGCAGTATTTTTCTTACCACCGGACCAATTTTTACTGGTGTACAATTTAAAGATTGGAAGTCGAACTTCAAAAAGTACTTTGTGGAGCCAAAAGTAAAAAAAGTCGACACCTTCCCCTTTAAAATAGATTAAAATTACCCAACCAATAAACAGAGCTAAAGAAGGGATTGCATGCGGTTTAGTTTTAAGGAGTTTTGTGTAGGCAATATTTAAGAAAAAAAGAGGTTTTAATAAATTTCAACCATGTCAATATTAATTTACTAGTTAATTTGTATAAGCTTCGAGGTATTGTTTTTATTTAAACATAATTTTTTCTATGAGTTAAAGCCATTTTGGTTTATTTTAGACCAAAAAGCCAGACAAAATTTCGACAACATTGTCGATGGTCCTATTTCAGTTCTATAAAGAGATTCGAGTTTTTTTTCTACCTTAATGTGTTATGTAGGAAGCCGATTTTCATTTAAACATTTTAGTTTCTAGATTCAATTTGCAACTTTATCAAAACCCAATTATTTTTTTTACATAAAAAGCAAAATATCAAAAATCGGTCAATAAAATAGACCGCATGAAATTCCCTTAAGCGAAATAATTTTTTTTCGAATTTGCAAAATTCCTCATTCATTCTTTGTTATTACTAATATATGAATGACAATAATATCAAATCACAAAGACACAGGACAATTTTAAACCTTTCCTGTACGGTCTAAGAGCGTACCTAACCTAACCTAGCCTAACTATATAATACTAGCAGGAAGTGCACGCCCAAGTTCTAAACTAGCAATGTTTATAAGTACACTACTACTCTATGTAATCATCTACAATGTATTACTCACGTGAGAACAAACAAGCTGCGGAGATAGTCTTGCATGTCGTCGGCCATGTTCACAGCGCATATGCCCACGCCTTCGAACTGCACTTTTATGTAAATCTAAAGTCATAAAAATTAAACAAAATTATGTAGTGCACGACTCGACACAAATTCGGGCGGCCGACGAAACTTACTCCCAAGTCCAAGTACGCCGTGTAAACGGGATAGGGAAGTACGATGCAAAAAGCGACAATCCAACAGCCGACCGTGCACGTCAAAGGCGGTAATCTCATTTTGCTGGGATGTTTTAAATGTTTGTATCTGTCGATAGCCATCAACAGGAACGTCAACGTGATGACGTGCGTGGGAACATCCTGCAACAAACAAAAATAGCATTTGTCTTTAAACGGGCAGATTGGATAAAGTTAAGTTTATTTAAAAAAAAAAAAACAGCACACTGTGGCCGAGGAAGTCATTATTATAACTGAGAGTGATAACATCATTTGGAAATTAGCATTTGGATGTCAAAACTTTAGGTGGCAGAAATATTTAAAAAAAAAAAACAATGAAAAGCAGCAATGTGCTAAAAATTATATTTCTAGTATTGTGGTGGATATGATTATCGTTATGGATTATTATTAATATAAATCATTTTATAGACATCAAATGTCTTTATAATCGTTTAGTTGAAATATCCTTTCCTGTCAATTCGCTTAAGGGGATTGCATGCGGTCGGTTTTTTCAGTCAAAACACATCATTTTTATTCCATTGCAAAGACCGAACCAGTGATCCGATAAGCAATCTAAAAACAGATTTGAATTCGCCATGAAGTTTACTTATGATCAGTCAGAGTACTTTTTTCAATTTTAACCCTTTCCAAATTTAATTTTAAAATCTGAAATTTTATATAATATTCAAACGTGATTTATACATAGTAGGAATAAAATATCAAAAAAGTACCCTGACCGATCATAAGTAAACTTCATGACAAATTCAAGTCTGTTTTCAGATTACTTATCGAATGACTGGTTTAGCCTGTGCGATGGAACAAAACATGTATGTTATATTAACTAAAATGGTTTTTATCATAAACAAAATAATTTATATTAAAAATAATACCATGAAGCTTATACAAATTAACCGGTAAATGAATTGACATGATCGAAATTGATTTAAACCACTTTTTTCTTAAATATGGCCTATACAAAACTCCTTAAAAACCAACCGCATGCCAACCAATTCCCTTAAGACAACTTACTGTCAATAAGAGAACAGCTTGAGCGCATTATCTACCCTCTCGCACTCGTCTACCCTTTCATCGAGTCTTTTATAATAAATTAGCCGACTCCCTTAAAAACTTCTCTCGAAGCACAAATCAAATATTCTTGAAAACAAACTTTCTAAACTTTCCCCCATTAACGGTAGTCTGTGATTTGAAACTAAAAGAGCACCACAGTTTAAAACATCCTGACCACCATTAATTAAACCTGATAATCTCTCTCTTTGACAGATGCAGATAAAGCTGAAGTTTTCAGACAATACCTGTATGAAATATTCAAACCTCACTCTGCTGATGCCAAACCAGATCACATACTTAAAGTTAATACATCGAAGATAAAATACATGAAATTTAAAATAACAATATTCTTTGTGAACATAACAACTGCAATCTATACACAGTAAAACAGCTGTACGTTCCATTATAAGGAAACAAGTTTGGACACTTCGAATTAACTGCGACGGCTTAACGCAGAAATGGTCGAAAAATTATCATTTCTCCGACAGAAGGGCTTATGGCTGTTACGCCAGGATTTAAAAATTCTCTATTACTACTTTACCGTACATCCGAAAAAGAGGATTACTCGTTTGGTAATATAATAACCGACTGTTGTTTGTAAAAAAAAGGAAAAATGTGTGTGTATACTTACTAAGTATACACCCGAAAATGAACTGAAGATAAAACATTCTGTATTTTAAATTAAATGTTAGTATTCTACCGAAGGCGTGTCATTGCGACAATACTTAAATGAAAAATTAAGTTTTACACAATCGTTTATTTTGTTTGTATGATAACGCGGCTGTAATACGAATTTGATGGGTCTACAGTTTTAAGTAAGTATACCTAGTGACAATAATGTTACTGGTTTTCTCTACTTGTACAGCTGTAAATTAGCCGTTTTGTTTACACAAGTTGTGAAAACTAACTAACGTTTGCCAGTTAGTTTGAATTAAATTAAAAAGCAACGACATTCCATAATAATGTTACAGAAATTTACATAATTGCTTTATGATTTTGGTAATTTTGTTTTGGGAGTGTGGAAATTACTTAATATAATATGTCAATATTATGAACTTCTGTTAGACTTGCAAATTATTTACTATACAACTCGGTTAAATAATTTATGTAACCAATAAGAAATTAACATGAGTCTGAACAGATAATTGCGCTCTTCTGTGTTGAAGTCAGAGGGTGGCTATAGTAGTTTTAATGTAACGCAAACTGTAGGACTAAAGTGAGTCTGCCTAGTTAGAAGAACAAACATACCGTTCAATATATCGTGGTGATAAGCTATCAATGGTAATAGTGCCTGATATTATTACTCTATGGTTGAAGTGCAATGTATAACGTTTTTTGAATGGAATGCATTGCTTAACGTGTGTGATATTATAAACCCTAAAATACGTTTTGAGATTTTGTAATTAAAACTTTATTTTTAGACTTATGATAAGAAGAGCAAGAGGGCCGTATATTTTGTCCATGCCGTGTTTCATGGGAGGGGGGGAACATATACCAAGAAACTTCTATGGTTTAAAATGTGCGCTAATTATTATCTAGTCAAAGTTGTAACGATTAAGACACTGATTTGGTTGTAATCATAATTTCAATGGAAAAGATAAGCAACGTAGCACGTCAAATTAATATTTGCCGGTTTACTCAACGCGGTATATCGTTAGAACACCGTTGTCTTGATCACAATATTAAGCTGCCACTCAAACGGAGATAACGAGAAAACCCGAATTATATTATTACTAAAACACTATACCCCGTAACAATCTGTAAGAGATGTACAAAAACGCAAATAATATCCCTTCCCTAACCCGGTGGAAATTGTGTTAAAGCCAAAATTATACAATGACCCTCATAGAGACGGTACAACGACACAGAAATAGCCGTTTTAAGTAGAAAATAAAAAGGTTGTTGGAAAAATACAAAAATTATGTAAACAATAATTAATATTGATTAAACAACGTTGCACGTTTAGCGCCATAAAAATTGGATAATTCGCAAGGATGAAAATTAAAAGATTTTCCATTAAGAAGTACCATTATCTACTTAGTACGTTTTTGTTTATTAGGTTATCTTATATTCAAGAACAACAAGCTCCGTTGGCCATTTATCAGAGACGCGTAGAAACGGCTACTGAATTGTTGTTACAATTAATATGATTAAAAAAAACATAAATAGAAAAAAGCATTTCTTATTTTATACAGAAATCCAATAACGATAATGTACATGTTTTGTATTGATATGTTCGAAAAAAATAATTGTCATAAGACTAAAAAAAAAATCCTTTTTAGTTACGTATCGACGTTGAAACTAATATAGGGTTTCCGTACAAAATCTTAGAATGGGATTTTAAGATAGCAAGAATGTATATATTACATTATTGAGTTGGTTACATTCTCTTGGAGTAATCTTATTTAAAAAAAATCTCTTTTGCCTCATTACTAAAATTGTATACGACATAGTAATATCTAAATTCAAGTATTGGTACAGTTTTTTTCAATAAATAGCAAAACGAGATAAAGTGAAACAAGATGAATTCAGCTGGTAACAGTACTTTAGTAGATGAAAATTTCAGTTAGATTAATCATAGTATAAATTAGTGGGCGTGAAAAATAAAATATAATGTTCTACAAACATATTTGAAACTGTTAATTTTTATAGGTTTTATTATTGCAACGGGCAAAAGCTATCAACTGCCCACATAAATTGACACATACATTTTTTTTTTTGCCGGTTTTAAATTACCGGCCTTGTTCATATTTTGTCGAATCCTTTTTACTTTATTGTATCGACAAGTACACAACATTCAGCCGTCTAACTACATGCTGGTTGTATTTTGACAACCGTAGTCCATAAAATTGTAATTTGTTTTCACCAATTAAAAAAATGTTTGTCTCCGGCGATTGAAGGTGTTATTTTGTTTGGTTTTCGCTCGTGTCATACATATTCAATGAGTATTGTTCGTAGTAACATTGTGAAAACAGCAATTGTGTGCGACGTTACGACGAAACCCCTATTGTCTTTGTCCGTTTTCTTTGTTGGCGTATTTCACCTAGAATTTAGATGGAAAAACGGCAATACCTGCAACGACGGGCACCAATAAACGCTTTCAAAAGGTAATCGCACGGACGGTCACATTGAAAGCTCACAATGTACATGCGACATTAGGCCACGTGGAGACAAAGCAAGTCTGTATAGGTATAAATATATGTACACACACTTTAAAGTGTATTATTTAGCCATGAAAAAACACGCAGCACGTCGTTCGATTTCAAATAGATGCCAACACAAACGAAAATAACTGTAGTCCAGAAAAAAAATCACTACTCTGTTGGACTTTTTGAACGCAGGAACGGATTACATCCAACACGAGGAGAATAAAACAAATGTACATACATATATAAATATAATTTTCGTGAATAAACATTAAAAACTGTATCTATTATGCAATTGAAACGTATATTTAAAAAAAAAAATTCAATATGTCTGAAAAATTATAAAAATATAAACCACAAAAAACAGAATAAAATTGTTTTTATTCCATCAAATTTTTTTTTCATTAGACGTCACGTTTTCTTAAAACCCTACTTTGATAACTAGTTTTTTTGTTTTAGACAAAAACCATAATATTATCTGTTATGTGGGTTTTTGTTGCTGACGCACCTGCACTTCTTGTAATAAATTTCTTTTGTTATCCCAATATAAAACGAAGACTATCAAGGCGCAATAATTAATTTAAAGTACTTAACAAAAAAAAAAAAAAATAGTTAAATTACTTTTTTAATAAAACCTGCACTCAAATAGTGATGCGCATACACGTAATTCTGGAGTTAACTCTCTAGGTTTGTGAAGCTTATGTAAGCCAGTTTCACCCCCATATAAGTCTACACGTAATTTTGGAGTTAACTCTCTAGGTTTGTGTAGATTATGTAAGTCAGTTTGACTCCCATATAAGCTGTTATTATGTCAACCGTCCAATTATACTGCTGTAATCTATACACTGTAAGTCGCATTAGTTGTAATTAAGAAATTTAGAGTGAAAATTCACTGAAATTAGATTATTATTTAAAAGAGATTTAAATTTA